AATATTTTATAACAATAATATTTTTTCTCGGAGAATATTCAAAATTGAAATATTTTTATCAAATATACGATGCTTCGAATTTCGTAGGTGATATTAACGCAATTACTTTATGAAATTGCCGGTTGCTTCAGATAGCGTTAAATATTATAAAAATTCTTTATTAGAAAATAAATAAATGAATAAATATTATTTCATTTTATCATTTTAATCATTAATGAAAATAAGCTTTGTGAACTTGAGACGACTAAAAAAGTAGAAGTGTGGTTAAAATGGTGGCGCGATATTTGGAAAGAAGAAAATTTGACAGCAGTGCGATTTTTAGATTTATCGTAATATTGAGAATGTTATTCGGAAAACTATTCCTAAAATATAACATCCAAATTTAATTGGGCAACGAGATGGCGCTCCTTATTACCAGTGGATTTTTAAATGGAAATTCTAGACAACGGAGACATGGAAGTTTTTATTCACAGGTTTCTTCAAATGTTTTTTGTTGGGGTTTAATTGAAAACTCCATTGTGATTAGTCGTATTTATTTATACTGAAGAAAAAACTTACGCTTCATTTTTTGCGGTTCCTGGGAGATTCGTTTTTTTGTGTCGCCCTGTACATAAATATCCGTTCTAGAGGGCTAATAACGGCACTTCGGCACAGACCTTCCTTTTTTGAGAGAAGTTCAACATACGACAAAGCAAAATTACTCCACTAATATTTAAACATCACATTTTTCAATATTGTTTTAGCAGACGCCACAATAACTATTGAAAAACACTAGTCTTACAAATTAAAAATTGAGAGAATTTATACGCTGTGCCAAAAATATGCTTTTTATTTTTGAAGTTCTCGGTAGTAGAGAGGTGAGTAGAACAATTTTTCAAATTTATATATATATATATATATATATATATATATATATATATATATATATGTATATATATATATATATATATATATATATATATATATATATATATATATATATATATATATATGATGACACTATACTCCGGGATATCATCCGTTCGCTCGTTGAACTCCGACTGGAATCCTGCATCCGACTGGAATCCTGCAGACGTTTCGCCAAAATCTCACTTGGCATCTTCAATGCTCGCCTCCGAAAACACTTCGAACGCGATGTATATCGGGAAATGCTAATCATACAAAAATCACTTCTGGGGACATTTATTTCTACAACCTTTGATTGCGGATTCCCTCCAAAAACTGCACGGAAAATGCAAAAAAAACAAAAATAAACAAACTAAAAACGCTATTAATGGTAATCTAAATTCCATTTCCAAGAAATTCCATTTCCAGTAATATTTATAGTATCGATTTTGCCATATGCATATAATTATATTACAAAATATATATTGGGGTAGGCTCAGATGAAGAATTTTTTTCGTGTACGAAGGACAGATGTTCCAAATAAAAGCCGAGCATTTCGTTTCCTTCGTCTGTTGTAGGGAAACGCGGAATTCATTCAACTACAGTCGACCGAAAAACACGGATCATATCTTTCATTTTTTCTTGTGTAAAAACAATTTTCCGCTGCGTTTTGGGTACGAGAATCTTAAACAAACGGATGAAACAAAGATCAAGAACCCCCGTCGCCTTTCAAAACGCCGATCCTTCGTCGGCACCGTAGACAGCCCGCGGTAACTTTTTAAAGAAATGAAAAGATCGGGCGAGGCCACCCCGGCGTCTCATAGGTATCGCCCTAGTTAATCTTGTTATTCGGTCATTCGGAAAAAGGTTTTTACGTTTCCGTCCGGTATTAATTTCGAAAATAAATTAAATTCGGTGGGTATGCTTGCGAAATATCCTAAACCTATTACTGTAATTAACATTGAAAGAAAATAAAAAAAAAAATGTCTTCGGAAACTACTACGCCACTGTTGATGGCCCTTGGTCGTTAATACAAATTATTTCAAAACATAAAACTCACAAAAAAATAACGACCTTTCTTCGAATTTGGAGATATCCAGTTGAAGAAAATAAATTTTAGTTATCTGTGATGTAAAATATCTTCTATATTTGTCCACCACTGAACATTGAAAAGCTGTCATGGCTTTTGTTGTCAATATTCGAATTTTATTACACTTATTGGCAGATATTTTCCGAAATGTATTTATAAAACTGTAAAAAAAATAGCCCTTGTTCTAAACATTGAATATCAAAAAAAGTGAGAGAAGGCACAAAAGCGGAAATTTCTATTAGAATTTTGTGCCCACAAACGACGCACCCTGTATATAATTCCAATCATGTTCGAAATAGAGGATAGAGCGTTGGATCTCCTTAGTTTCCTGGTATCCGAATTTTTCCTATGGAGTAAACCATGCCGTACGTGGTAAATGTAAATGATGTCAACGCGTCTAGATTGAGGGCGGGAAATGGTGATTTTCAAAAAAATTCAAAAATTAAAAAAAATGCTTCGTGTTATTTTATTGCCCCCAATTTAAAGAGTTATTTTGTTTTTTAATATTGCACGGAATATCGCGAACACCCTGTACAATACTTAAAAACCGTAAGTACAAAAGTTTAAGCTGTCTATATTATAAATCATATCGTCGCATTTAGTTTTTTTTTTCAGAAAATTATTTTTTTTGCCATCATTTAAGAAAACGCCATCTGGCACGTTCGAGCCATTTTTGAGTTATGGACATTTGTTTATTTATTTATTTATTATATTTTTTGTTATTTATTTATTTATTTATTATATTTTTTAATATTTATTTATTTATTATATTTTTTAATATTTATTTATTTATTTATATTTTATGCAAAAAAAATCGTTATTTATTTATATTACGCTATCGCCTAAGTCTGTCGCAATTAAATATTCTCAAGGACGGGACAAATATCTTAACAACCCTTATATTGCGAATTCCTGAGCACGTCACGACCAAGTGGAATCTGTCAATTAAATTCTGATTTTGGCGAGTGCGCGTCCCATTACGAAACGATTAATTAACTCTAATCATCTTAAGTTTACCTTTGCGCGCCACCTTAGAAACGGGACAACTTTAACTCCTGGCAGACGGCGATAAATCAGAAGTCCAAAGCTTTACATTCGCGCCCCGTTCCAGAAGTTCTGTTCTATCGCCGGTTTCCACTCCATGAAATTCCCCGACATACGAAAGAATGAAATTACAGCTTCGAGGACAGGCTGGAAGCCATTGCGGGGGCCATTATGTGAATTGAACGTCGAATATCCATTTGAAAAATTAATTTTCCCTCTCAGGTGTAATTCACTTAGCAGTTCTCTCTTATAGCTGCCGCCATTGCGCGATGTCGAATGCATGTAGAGTAGGGGGGCGGGGGGCTGTGACGAGGTCGCGGTCGCTGTATCGGATACAAAAGTATCAAATGTTCATGCAAAGTTAAAGTGACTTTCATAATTATCCAAAGGGACTATCCTAATGTTTGCTAGAAGGTGGCAGACAGTACTATTGCTTATTGTACCGAAAGCAATTGCAGATACCTTCCTCGTTGAGGTAGTTACAGCTAATTGTATGTGTGTCATATTCATCTTTGAACAAAACATTTACTCAGGAGTTTGTTCTTCTCAGAGCTTTGTAATCAATGTACATTAAAATTTTTGATTATTGTCTTTTAAGTTTTTTTTTTTTGTCAATAAACCTTCGTCCGTTATTTTACTATTTTGAGTTAAGTTACGAAAACCATTCACAAAAAAAAATGATTCCACGCTATCAATCATAGGTAGAGCAAATAGGAAAATACAGGTCTACGTTGGATATAAAGCCTAGCCTATTCGAATTTACCAACTTAACACTAATTTTGAAAAATATGCTAGTATGCATTTAAAAAAAAATAATTATTTTTTTTAAATTCCCGTAATTTTTTTTTTAGAACCTCGAAATGTCAAAACTTGCCTTACAGCCCTTTGCTTCTGACAGCCTCAAATATACATTACAATTTACAATTACAATTATTACCCGGTATATTAAATATATTGAGGAAATCCGGTCGACACGTCGTCACTAGTGCAGCGTAACTTTTTTTTTATGTAAACGATTTTAACTCATATTATCCCAAGCATAAAAAAAATAAAAAAAATACTTTTTTGTTCTGAAATTATTTATTTTGTTGCACTTAAGAATGGACTACACTTGTCAACAAAAAAAAAAAACTCCAAACTCCAAAAAAATACTGGTGCGTAAACGAACCACTGGGAAAAAACATTAAATAATGTTTTGGGGCACATAAGATGTAACATATAATTTATACATATATATACAAAAGAAAGTTCAAATTTCGGCAACACCGTTCCTTTATCAAATGTGAATATCAAACGGTACCGATGTTTATAAATACAAAACAGGTAATAATTACTTAATGTGACGTGTTAAATTAACAAGGGGGATCCATTCAAATCCAGTTGGTCATTAAGTAATACATTTCGAAATGGATGTGAAAAAAAAATCATTGAATATGTGGTGCATTAACGCATTACTGGTACAAAATGGGGTAACGTTTCAATAAAATCCACATTCCGGTGTCAACGAAATAAAAAACGGTCGAAATTAATACGGGACGATCGAAACGCCTTTATCTGGACGAAACATCTGAACGCGTCACGTCAGTAGCCAGGCGGTTATTCGAAATGGTACGCCGAGCCGATGGTCCCGGATTAGACGGAGTATAATTTAATTGAGACCCGATCTCACGCTCCGATCCGATAAAATTATTTTCGACGACTTAATCTTCGCTTATACGGAACCATTTCCACGTTTCGTACGAAACGTTCCATGAATAATGTAAAGTCGCGCGACGATCGATATTTATTGGCACGTTATCGACGACCATACCCTGGGCACTCTCCGAAATATTTCATACCGTGTTTGTTTGCTTACATCCCGCCAGAGGCGCTGCAAACAGATGAATTTTGACAGAAATTGGTTTAAATTTAAAATTCGCATCCGTCCGCATCTATGGTCCGTGTTCGCCGGGTATTCGCATTGTTTTGCGTAGTAGTGAGTGTTTTGAACATTTTGCGGTTGCAGTGATTTTGCTTCTTTGATAATAATATCATAGGTAAGTACAACTAAAAGCATAAAGGCAGCACTTTCTTATTCTCATCTCAAGCTTAATTTTATTGATAGCGTAAATTCGCCAAAGGGGTCATAGGAATATTAACCTTACAGTTTTGGTGACTGGTAGGTCTTTCAAGCAGTCTGTTGGAAACAACTGTGAAGATGATGAATCAGAATTATGCTTCACATTACAAAGACTTACATCGCAGGTACTTAATTATATAATATGTCATAATAATAATAGGTATGTGATAATAATAATAATGTCTTTTTCGTGTGTACGTATTTATTATTTTGTTGTCATTTTAGGGACTTCTAGAAGATGAGGTCGTTACACTTCCGCAGTTCACACAAATACATGCAAATTTACCCACTCCTTTAAAACTTGCAGAGGAAAGAGCAGGTATGTTGCCGGGTACCTAGGGAAGAAAATTGGAAAACAATAATACAGGCATATAATTATTGCACGCAAATAAACAGAATATCAAGGGGTTTAGATATGAGACATATCCCTGTACATGAGTCAAAAATGTTTATTTCTGCTAGAAAAATTTGCCAGGCTAGCATTAAGCGACGCCGTAAGTAAAAGTATCTCAAAATCGGTGTCCCCTCTGTATATAGGTATTTTAAGAACCATTCACGATACCCATTTCTAACTTTAGTAATATTTAGTTTTCTTTTAATAGTTATATAGTTCCCCATATCACTCGAAAAAATCACAAATTGGCTTATCTTTTTTTTTGTAAAAATCTCAATAATTAAAACGAAAAAAATATCTACTTAACATAGTTACATGGTACCTGCTCGCATATACATATTGTCCAAAAAAGAACTTCGGTTAGCACTTAATCAAGAATAGCAAAAAATCATTAACCGCTGCTCAAAAATAAGAAAAACCAAGTCGGGCCCGTTTGTGTTTTGGTTGACGATACTTAAAAAGGACAGTGATTTATTGGTATGCAGTATACATTTGAAAATGGTTAAAAATGATAAGTCCCGCCTCGTTTACTCTTCTCACAAGTTACCGTATAGTCTGTCAGTTAAGAGCAAAAAGTAATAAAATTGTATAAGGATGTTGTACCCAAATTACTTCTGCTCGTATGTAACAGAATAATATATCTTGAGTATAAAATGTAGGTACATTGGAAACATATATTTACTGAAATTTCCATAAAAATGTTATGGTGACATACAGGTTTGACTTGAGTATTACTTTCGCTTTCGGAGAGACATATTATAATAGGTTGATTCTACAATAATAGTTACTATATTTAATTATTAATTATTTGCATAGTGTATTGGATCATGTTAACACTGAATTGAATAAACCTATAAATCTAAAGCTGTTATTTTATAAATTTCAACCAATATTTTGTTAATCATATGATTTCCTTTTTTTCCTGGATTAATCCTCAAAAATTGAGATGCTGAACAAAAAATCCCGTCAGTCCATTTTTTCCCTAGATTTATTTACCCTTAATATTATAATTTACAATTATTGCAATTGCAATTATAATCGCGCACATTTTTAAATTTCGAATTTAGAAAAAGAAGAAGAATTTAGAAAAAGAAGAAGGAATTTGGTTCTGAACTTCTCTATTAGTTTCTTACATCGCGCTAGATGGCGTCAGTGATGCTGTTTCAATTCTCCAAGAGTAAAGTTTCCCATCTATAACAAATATAATATAGTTGTCTATGTCGACGACGTATCGCGTTAAGGAAACGCCATATTCGAATGGCTTCGACATTTTATTGGGCGTTCGGAAAGAAATGTAACAAAAACTCAAAATCGTAATATTTTCCGAGTTATAGCTTGCCATTTTTTAAAATTCTATTTTTATCGCAGTGGGCGCAGAGGGGATGGCCCCCATTAGTGGCAATGACCAGCTTACACGAGTATCAACGCCTGTAGCGATTGTGTCCAGTCATGAAAACGGTTCAATTCAATTAAAATTTTGAAAGGCAAAATGTGAAAAAAAAATCATGCCGAAATAGTTGAAAATTATTCAAATTTATTAAATTAATCAACATCTGAAAATACGTGGTAATAAAATAATGATTAATGATAATCTTAAAATAGCGAAACTATTACTATAACAATAATTATATTGTAAAAATCAGCTAACGGCACGCTTTTTTAGTAAATCATTTGATATACTATAAAATTTATTATTTAAAAACATAATTTAAAACTCGGTGTATATAAAGTTCTATCATAATAATAAAAGTTTTCTTTAAAGATACCTATTAGTTATAATAATTTTTTTTTCAAAAAACGTATTCCTTTGCTAATAAAATATATTTTAATAAAAAAACTTATATAAGATTTTAGGTCACAATATATGATCACCCCCCAAACTTTTTGCTAAAGCGTAATTTTCTTTATTTTCGATATCCGCGATTGTCTGTTGTCCTTCCCTATATTCAAAACATCACTGACCACATATCAAAGAAAACGTCACAACGTCAAAACCAGATTTACCACTTTACCAGTTTACAGCATACCATGTATATGCGGCAAAGAATGCATTGGAGAGACCGAACGAAAAATAGCAACTAGGGTCAAAGAAGATGAAAAACAAATAAACGACAGAGAAAACGCATAATGGAGGTTATGTGGAAAATGTTTAGTATTAATTATTAATATTTTTTTTGTTTCGATAACATAATTTTATTATTCGGCGTTTTTCTTCATCAGTGGGTGATATTGCGAACTATGTTAAGTTACGCTGCAGATCTTTGGTTTTGATTAGTTGTCACGAGTAGAACATTAATTAACAAGAACAAAATTAACCCTGCAGGTGGATGTCAAAATATAATGAATAACCCAATACAATTTTCATTTTTTTTTTTTGCAAAAAAAAGTACCTGGTTTGACAGTACGTATTCCAATTTGATAGCAAAAGGATTCGGGCGAATATTTATTCGGCGAACCCGCGCGTAATTTTCTTTACCTTCGATATCCGTCATTGTTTCCAGCGTTCGGAATCTATCCCGTCGTTTAAACCTACCGGGGGGTAATTTGCGAAAGGCGCGGAGCGCGCGGGACGAGCCGTTAATAAAACTTTCCTTTTCCGATCCGTTTTTACTTTCGGAACCGACAGGAATTGTATCTAATTTTCCGTTCGGTTCGAAAGCGTGACGCGAAATCGAAAGTGAGGTTATGTTTATCTCTCCCGTTTCGATATCGTCGCAGGTGATCATTTTCTCGCGGATCGTGATACGGCTTATAGATAAATTCGCAAAGCGAGATTGCCTCGAATGTTGCGCTGTTTGTTTATAATAAACAAACAATTTCGCGTTTGGTGCCGCGCCGCATCGATAGCTTAGGAAATTACACGCTTCGTTTTGATTGTGCGCGGATGCGTTTCGCTTATGGGGTTCGCGATGGAATGTAAATGAGAACGTGGCGAATTGCGCGAATAATAACGGCCGGGAGTCTACGTGAATCTGGATTTTAAACAGGGCGAACTAAACTGCACCCGAAAATTAACGCGTCATCTCGAGTCCGGTAGACCCGATGCAATTGCCACATATATCTCCGCGTGTGGTGAAATGATTATTTATTATTATTTCCCAGTTTTCCACATATGGATGCGATAGATTTAATAGATTTCATTTTAAAACTCACAATACATATATTAACTTCACACAAGTGACACTGACACTGTTGACAATAATTACGCATCACCTGGGATACGCTAAGATCGCCACCTTGATGGAAAATAAACTAAGCGATATCAAAGCCTACTATTCATCTCGACCAAACATAAATGAATGTTTAAAGAATATATTTGACATTTCTTTCGTTCGTTCTTAGTTTGTGATTTTGGGGATACTCTGTACTCCATGGCAGAATCGTGAGCTTCACGGACTTCGTCTCCTTTAACGGCGATAAATCACCTCACGTGAACCTCGAAGGTCGCGATTAAACGCGCCTGCGTATGTATATCGTACACGTCCCGCTTGGAATCCGTCTCTCGTTCTTAGGAAAGAATCTCGCATTAACTGCGGAAATAAAAGCAAAAACTTGACAACAAATTGGAAATGATTGATCGTTGTCCGGTAATTGATATTTATTATTGCCTGTTTCGCGTTTTTCTTTTGTGCGTCCGCGTGTGTCGTGTTGGTCTTGTACGAAGACTGCGTACAAGACCAACACGACACACGCTAGTCCTACGGCAACGTTTTGTTTTCCACTACAACGACTTACATCAGGACATTTTAATTGCCAGACCTTTCGAATTGTTTTTATTATGGACGTTTCTACCCTGGCACGCAAAAAATCTAGATCGCTCAACAAATGACAAATTCTTTGGGACAAAAATTTTATCACCTACTCTATTTGGTTAACTGATTTTATAATGCAAGTGGAAAATCTTATGTTGGTTTTCATGATTTTCGCCGAAAACAGAAAATGTCTACAATTAGCAAGGCTCAATTCTTATCTGTAATTAAAGAGACGAGTAACAATTGACAATATTGGGAAAACCTGAAAATTAATAACGTATATTCCATACGCTTGCGTCTACGGTTGCTCGTAATTACATTACGGGTTACGTTTGTTATGTATTAGCCACTCTCTCAGCTTTTGGGTACTTCTTGGTGCAGGTACGTTTTCGAATACCTCGTCCCATCCCAAACTGAAAATAATAAGGCACTGTGCTGGGATGGACTAAAGGCCATCTTTTTCTGAAGTAGACTTTCCTGATGCGCAGTCTCTATCTTAATAATGGTGACATACAGGAAGTTATACTTCGACCAGAAATATAGCGTTTTTACAGCGGACCCCGTGATTAACTTTGTCTATTGTTTGTTACTCCAAAACCGCAGCCCCTTATAGAACGCCCTTCCGAGCCGACCCTTGAACGTCCTAGGAATTATTGTCCAATGTACAATAAAAAAAGGAGTACAAAGTAACGATTTACTACGCTCTACATAGTGCCATTATCAATATACAAAATATTAAATATAATAATAATAATCCAACACAACAACAGCATTCGGCGATACTGCTCAAATATTTCCGCGGTCATGTTTTCGCGGCAATCCACGCTTGAATCTTTGACGTTTTTGGCAGACCAAAATAAGACATCATCCACACAATTGAATTTAAATAATCCACCCTCCATTGCGAAATTCTAAAAATATGCAACGACTGTTTGGCACAACTAATGTTTAAGTGTGCCAGTATTTTTTTATGCAGTTCTTCTCGCGTTAAGACGCTATTCAAGTTTATAAGCGTCGTAGATTATACGCCTAATTATATCTAATTATATCCGCGTGTTGCTCTTTAAATACTTAAAACTTGAACGCAATAAATGCACTATACTTTTGGTCGTATTATACTGACTATCGACCGATCTCAATAATTCCCAATGCTGTAAAATTGTTTAAATGACTTCTAAAGCTTACTACTGTTAATCACCTGGAATCCAATGATCTCCTCAACACTAAACAGTTTGGCTTTAGGCCTGGCTCGTCTACCATGGATGATAGTAGTGCGGGCCCTTTTTATCGAAATGAAATAATATCTAATCTAATCTATATGGCGAAAGATGGTAGGAAGAAGTGATTTTTCTATTCACGTACCCGTCAAAGTTAACATCTAACGGCAATATTTTATTGCCAAACTAATGACTCTCGGTTTTCGAAAGATCTCATTAAAACGTTTTCGTGGTAAACGCGCCGGC